TAGCCTGACTTTTGCCATCAACAGGTGGTGGTCTGACCCAACGTCTGCTCCACGCATCGCGCGAACGTCCAGCAGTGAGCTCCTCCATCTCTTGCTAAATGCCAGGTGGTCGATCTGATTCACAATACCACCATCAGGAGACTTGGGACAAGTATCTCTCAAATATTGCTCACCCTAGGCAAGTCTTAGTTTGCTCTTGTATTGACTTAGTTGGCAGACGACTTGCCTGATCCCAAGTGCCCATTGGGCAAGTGAGAATGAAAAGGTACTCGCCCATAAGGAGAATCTACTTGTCCCGGACAACCGGAATGCACCTTTTTCGAGCCCTGTAATCTAGAAGTCACACAGTGATCAATATTTCAGTGTACCCTTGATAATATTCTCTGATTGTTGTTCTTGCAGATGTTGATGAGTGTAAAATCCCTGGAATGTGTAGCCAGTTGTGTTTCAACACAAAAGGAAGCTTTAAATGTTTTTGCCGAGCAGGCTATTTCATGGAGCCAGACAAACGCAGCTGTAAAGCAATAGGTTGGCAGATGTTCATTTCATGCATCACAATTGGTTAACAACTTAATTGCAGTGTGCACTTTTAATGCAGTTAAATGCAATTTAACGGAGGTAACAACAAAGAGCGCTTGCGTTCCCCTGGTAGTCAGCGGCGTCGACACATATGCGTATGTATCGGAATTCCACATGCTCGTGGATCGTAGTGCGGCAGCTCATCACCCAGGCAGTTCCCCTCCCAGCCTTTTCCCTCCCTCTTTCCACTGTTTCAGCAGTGTGATGGGTGCCTGTTCCTCTTACTGCGTGGGGGCTCATGGCTGGGTTGTCAGGATTTGCCAGCCATGGGAGCAGTCTTCATCTAGGAGCTGGCTGCCAATAGTGGAAGCCCCTGGATGTCTCAGGCACCCAACCTCCATTTTAGCGATACATACATACATACATCCATAAACTTTATTTGAGTGTCGGAGTATTTAGCTAAAGATAACTAATTGGGGACATTAACATAAATACAAAGCGATGCACTTGTTAATGGTCAATATAAAATACATATGATTTTGTTTCTTTCTCTGTGACATTACAAAGTATCCTTTGGACAGCATGTAATAAACCGGTCACATTACGGAGCCTTAGTGCTCATGCGATGTGTCCTATGTGAAAAAAGGGTTTGAGGTTGGTCAATACATTTTGTCATGTTTGATTAACTCTTAATTTGAAAGTAAGTTGGAATATGTCGAGGACTGAAGTTCACCTGGTTTTCATTCTAGTCAGGTAACAATCAAAAAACTTGTTTCTCTATTTTAAAGAGGCATTCAATGAAGTTTTCCTTTTTCTTTCACACGAACAGACTTAGCTCAACCAGGTGATAGGCTACTTTCTAATTAGTTTGCATTTAGTAAGCATGGCCAAATTGTGATGAGTAAAGGTAGTATAAGTATTAAGAGAAAAAAAAGTTTGTGGAGGGGAATTGGCATTGGCGTCTGGTTGAGGGCTAATCAAATTTGGGGCTGGCTGAATGCTGCCCTTCATTTTGGTACAATTTAACTCGTACAGTTGGATCCTTGCTCCTGCAGGTGAACCAGGGTATCTGATATTTGCAAACCGTCAAGATATCCGGCGCATCCTGTTTGACTCTTCAGACTGCACGGAACTAGTACCAGGACAGCGAGGTGCAATAGC